GCTTCCGGCACAGTGGAGCTAGAGGTGTTTCTTCACTCAGACAGCTGCTGGCTGCTGAGGCTGAGAAGCCCCAAGGTTGACAAGTAGAAAGGGCAAAGTCCTAATGTTACCAAACCACACAGCAGGCCGTTAACTTAAGTCCATTGTAAGTCCCAAGGTCGGCAGAGCATAGCAGGCTGCTGAGCAACAACACGGCTACATGCAGGCTTCAAGCGTGCCATAGGCTAGAGACCATTCCCCAAGGCTTCTGATTATACAGGAAACAGACCACATTCCCTAAGGCAGCTACTCAGCTGCTCCCAGTAGATTCCACCATGGAGTTGATTGCCAGTCTCATCATGAGGAACACTACATCCAGCTGCCCAGCCACTCAACCAGGCCCAGCCAAGTTAACACACAAACATAACTACCACACAGTGAGATCAATGGTTGCCAGGGGCTCAACGGAGGGAGGCTGGATGAGAAGGTGGGACACAGGGCATTTTTAGGACCCTGAAACTATTCTGTTTGTCACAGGACTGTTGTGGTGGACACGTGAAACCGTGTGTTTGTCAAAACACAGAGACTATACAACACAGAGTGAACATCAGTACAAACTATGTACTTTAAACCATATGAAACCCATTGCCGTTGAGTCAATTCCGACTCTCAGTGATCCTATAGTATGGAATAGAACTGCCCCATAGGGTTTCCAATGCTATAAATCTTTATGGAAGCAGACTGCCACATCTTTCTCTGGTGGAGAGTCTTGTGGGTTCCAACCACCAACCTTTGGGGTAGGAGTCAAGTGCTTAACCACTGGCCCACCAGGACTCCTTCAATTATGTACTTTAATTAATAAGGATACCAGTCCAGTTGCCATCAAGTGGACTCAAACTCAGGGCTATCCCATGTGTGTCAGAGTAGAACTGCGCTCTATAGTGTTTCCAACAGCTGATTTTTCAGAAGGAAATTGCCAAGTCTTTCTTCCTGGTCCATCTTAGCCTGGAAGTTCCGCTGAAACATGATCAACATGACAGCAACACACAGGTCGTCATGAACAAACAGGTGGTGGCTGTGCGTGGGTGCACTGGCCAGGATCAAACTCAGGTCTCCAGCATGGAAGGTGAGAATTCAACCACTGAGCCCCCGCTGACCACGAGTTAATGACAATACAGTACTGACACTGGTCCATCCATGGTAACTCATGCACCGCATGGACACGAGGCATTAATAAGAGGAGAAACCACAGGGTCAAGAAGTTGTATGGGGACTCTGTCTTTTCTGTACACCTCAAACTACTCTTACAAATGAAGTGCATTGAAACATGCTGGAGTGTGTTCACAGGAGAACCTACTTCCTCACATGTAGAACCATTACTCATATCCAAAAAAAAAAAATGGAGCAATGGAGATGCCCTTCATGAGGTGACAGGATAAACAACCTAGGTGGTCTTTTGCCTTGGTTCTTTGAAAGAAAACAACTTAGAGACTTTCTTTCAAGAGGATGGATGGCCCCAAGGTTATGGTCATTGCTTGGTCACAGCCAGCTACCCAGAGGGACC